CCTGTGCACATTAGGTCCCCTTTCCCTGAGCTTTGGGGACACATCTGAACAAGAGCGAGTCCTCGGGTGGAGAAGGTAGTGCAGCCAAGGCCTGAGGCCCAGGGACAGCGGTGGCCCTGCTCGGGGGAGGGGCGCCCTGGGAGTGGGGAGAAGAAATCCGCCCAGAGCTGGCTACTGTGTTCCCGCTTCTGGGTGGTGGTGTTTAGTCCTCAGTGTTGCAACTCTGCCAATTCAGGGATCCCCACGCTGATCTCGTTAGCTCCCCACCATGGAGCTGCAGGTTTAGAACCCCCAACCCATCTTACAGTAGAAGCCCCTCTTTGGGCTTCTAAAAGGCCTGGCCCCAAGCTCTGGGGCCACCTCTGGCTCTGTCCTAACACATGCGGAAGGTCTGCCTACCGGTGTCCCCAGGCCTGCTATGGGGAACAAGGGGGTCCAGATGGCTATGTAGAGCAGCCTCAGGGGGCACAGCATCCTGGGAACCCTGCCCAGCAGGTGGGGTTCATATACCGGGGGGCACCTGAGTCACTCTGTTGCCTCCCCTCAGCCCATGCAGCCAGGCCCTGCTGGAAGAATGGAGAGAGGTGGGTCTGAGCTGCTGGCCGTCCTCTTGGGCCCCACCTTGCTGTGTCTGCCGGTGTCTTCCTTCACACACAGCACCAAGGAAGATGAGGAGGAGGAGGAGGAAGAGGAAAAAGGGCAAAGGGTGGGGGAGTCACGCAGCGCTGGTCCAGTGGCCAGGAAGCTCTGGGCTCACGTGCAGAGACAGACCCAAAGGAACCCCCCTTGGTCTGGAGCTATAAACCATTTTCCTGGGATGGTCAAATAGCTCAGCGCCTGCAAGCAGGAGCAGGGGCCGGGGGTTCAATCCCTGGGCCCAGCTCTTGGGAGGCTATAAACAGGTGCATCACTATGAGTCCGATCTAGTAGTGAGACCCTGAACACCCTGTAGACCCTTCCCTAAAAATATATAAATCATTTTCCTCATTGAACCTTGTTGGTTCAGCATGTTACTTAGTCTTATATTCATTTAAAAAAAAAATGTGTTTGGGCTGGGGAGATGGCTCAGTGGAATAAG